GTGTGTGTGTGTGTGTGTGTGTGTGTGTGTGTGTCCTCACGCGTCTTTGATCTTATTGGTCCTCTCTACGTTATCGATGTCCATGCGGATCTTGTAGTTGAGTTTTGGCGGCAGCTCTGTGGCATTGGGGGCGACATCTGGGAAAACGATTCCTGCCCAGAACTTCCTGTCCTCCAGCAGCAACATGGACTGGTTGACCAGTCGCTCCTCTGTGGACACAGGCTCCAGTTTGTCCAGGTTCACACACTGACACACAAACACACACAAAGTCAGGTCATGTGATCTTCATCTATCAGTCACTGCCAATTACGTTCTTTAATATCAGATAAAACCTTTTATTGATGAGTGAATGAAAATGTTTCTGTCTAAAATGATTATTGACCTGAATTTGAATGTTTTTATTGATGTGTGTTTTACAATCAACACGGACAAGCTTGTGTTTCACTTCACATCAGTTAACACACTTTGTTTCTCGGGACAGGAAGTTACACACAAACCAGAAACGTGAGTAAGTAAAACAGACGCGAGGTCATGAGATGATCAGGAAATCAAAATCAAAATTTTTGCCGATCAACTGTCCTTCTCAGTCACAGGTCTGTGATCTTGTTAATATGACATGTGAGGACAAAGTTTAGACAAAGAGCCGTTGACTGACCTCCATGAAGCGGGAGATGCTCATGATGGCCTGGTCCGTCTCGTTGAACACCTCCCTCCAGGTGAGGGCACTGCCCGGCGGCCGCGGGTCATCTGCCTGCCTGGACAGGAAGTTTGACACGTCGGACACGGTCCAGTCAGTTTGGGCCAGCTGAGCGTGAAATAATCTTGCGGTGACGTTGTTTTTCAGCAGAGTCTGAAAGACGAGACGTATTACACACATGAATGAGCATTAAACAGGTGAGCTGGTAGGCGGTGCCTGCCTACCCTGATCAGGTCCATGTGTTGACTGTTCTCCATAAAGCTCCAGACTTTAGGTCTCATCTCCTCCCACATTCCTCCAAGGTCCCTGAAAACACCAAGCTCCTGGAAGGTCCGGTTCACCTGAACGCATCACAGGTCACATACAGGTGAGACACACTTCGTCCCCTCCTGGAGGAACTAACTGATGAGACAGGAAGTGATGTCATACCTCGTGGATGACCTTCTGTGTGGCGGGGGTGTGGGGGGTGTACAGGATCTTTCCCATCAGCAGCGGCTTCAGAGCCTGCCAGATCATCCTGGACATCGGGTTAGAGTCCATGTTCTTCACCAGACTGTTACAGTACGGAGCTGCACAAAATGTACACACATTATAAACACACACACAATATACACACAACATACATTATCAATACACAAACACAACATACACTCAATGTACACACATTACACATGACCAATACACACACGATTATACACCCAATTGAACACAGGGACTCACTGGAGGAGTTGTCGTACAGCGACATGGGCTCGTCCTCGCTGCTGTTGTGGTTTCCAAACAGAGCTTTGTAGTTGCTGTCTTCGTACCAGTTGAGGGATTTGATCTGCAGGCCGCCGCCTTCAGGGTGACCACACACAATCCTGGAGACTGCCTGGTACATGGTGCTGGGTGACGACGTGGCATTCTGCGTCAGGAAGATGATCTCATTCCTCAGATCGATCCAGCTCTTCATACTGGCCAACTGAAAGTCGCAGATAGATGGGCTAGTTAGAGTTAGACCAGGTGTGTCCAGGTGACACTGATGTAGGTAAAAGCTGCAAGAGGTTGTCAGGTGGTTCTGAAGGCTCCTCCCAAGGGCAGCATGTTGCCAGGCATGAAGATGGTGAATGTTGTTTGTTGTGTTGTTGGCGGTTGTTGTGGTGCATTGTTGTGGTGGAGGTTGTGTTTTATGGAGTATACAGTGTTACAGTTCTCATGGTGTTGTGGTTTTAAACAATGTTGTGCATCAGGTTTGTTTTTGTCGGGGGACAGGATGAGACATAAAGGGTTTGGTTAGAGTAAACACAGGGACACTGATCTTTTAAATAAAAGTTTGATTGAAAACTGTCACGTCATATGACAGACACACTTCCTCTTCGACAAGAATTTCAAAGTAAAGTTCAAGACTAAATGTAGAAAAACATGAAGCTGGACGCACGCACGCACGCTAAGGTAACACCTGAGAGGAACCTCCTGTGTCCTGGTCTGATATGATGGGTGTGGTCAAATGACTTGGCCACATGGTAAATAGCAGCAGCTGCTGTGACGTCCATCACAGCGTCTCTGCAGGACACTGAGGACATGGAGGACGAATGCTGAGTGTTTGTTCAGCTGGACGCTTTGATCTGCTGTGAACCCAGTGACCTGCTGGAACCAGGACAGAGACCATATCCACTGGACAACAGGTCCGTCAGCTACACTGACTCTACTGGAGGGTCATGTGATCAGGTTTCTTACCTCCACCGCCAGAGAACCAAGACTGTCCAGGAGGTTGTTGGTCGCCCTGGAAACCTGTCTGACGGCCTCTGGGTCAGACCTCACATCCCTCTGTAAGACATGAAGACCCAAAACCCTTTAAGTACGAAGCTACAGGTTCAGGAACAGGAAAGATATTAAAACCAGATCGTCACAGTAACATTATCAGTCTTTCGTCGTCTCTTTGTTCGATGACTCAAACATTTGAGGATTTTCTCTGTGGTTGAAGCAGTTAAATGTTTCCGTGGAAACGTTCACACTGACTAAGTTTGTTTCAGGCTCAGTAGCTCGTATATTTCAGCAGACAAAAGAAGTCGAGGCATCTTGTTTTCAAACCAATAAAACTGGTCTCCAGGCTACGAAAACAGAGCGTGTGAAGAACGAGACAGGCCGAGACACGCCTCCTCCCACACACACACTGAATACTCACCTGAGCAGGGTCAAACTAAACTCACACTAAACTCAAACTAAACTCAAACTGAACTCGCTTGAGCTAAACTCAGGTCGCTTATTACCTGGATAGGTTTGAGGAAGTCCAGGTTGTTCAGAAAGTGGTCCTCAGCGAGGTCCAGCCAGGCTGGTGGCGCCTGACAGATGACTTCCTGTACCAGTATCGACACCTGCGGGTCCGAGATCGTCACAAAGTCCTCCAGACTACGCTTGCCCCCCTTCCTGAGACACATGTCCCTGAGGTGGACTCCGAAACCTCTAAGGAGAACCTGAGACAGATGACAGAGATCAGAGACTAGAGACCAGAGGACGAAGACCAGAGGAAAGAGATCAGAGAACAGAAACCAGAGGAAAGAGACTAGAGAACAGAAAACAGAGGACAGAGACCAGAAGACAGAGACCACAGGACAGAATCCAGAGAACAGAGACCAGAACACAGTGACCAGAGGACAGAGACCAAAGACTAGAGACCAGAGGATAAAGACCGTGTTCTGGTCTAAGAGTGTGTGCAGATGTGTCCTCACCGTCTCTAGGTTGACGTCAGCGTCTCTGATCTGTTGGATGTCGTGTTCAGGGAAGGAGACGTTACTCTGCAGGAAACTCGACAGAGTCTCGTTGTCTCGTAGGAAATTTTTCAACTTGAAGCCTGAGGAGAAAACACAGTCAGCGTCGTCATGGAAACCTGACTCAGCCCCCTCAGGTGTGAAGTGTAATAGAGTTTTTTGTCTCTCAGGCTCCAGAGACTTTGACCCTGTCATTTGATAATAATCAATATTGATTGATGATTGATTGATGATTGATCATCAATGTATTGACAGATGATATGTGAAACCGTCTCTTTACCTTTCTCCATCTGGGGATATTCTTATGATTTGTCAGTGAACGTGTCAGAAACATACAAAGCTGCTCTCACTCACACTGACATCACATCTGTCCAATCAGTGAGCCTCCTGTCAGTCACATGACTTCAGAGGACACGGCTGAGACACTTGGACTTCTTCCTGTGACACCTGCGAGTCGTCACATGTCTGAGCATAAACTCACATATTTACATTTTTTTTAAAACGATGCCGCCGCTCGTTCTGCGAGCCTTTCCGTCAGGTTTGAACATGTTGCTCTGACGACACATCTCTGACTGATCCTCCCCAAAGAGACGTCTACATCCTCGTCTTCACCAGACTGAAGAATGGAAACATGGCTGCTGGTCACCATAACAACAAATATGATTGTAACTCTTTTCCATGTAGATTAATTGTGACGATAGCGAATCAGGAGCTTGGTTCTGGAGAACTGAAAACCATGACATGTAAACCAGAGCCAGTGAAAACTCTAAAAGCTCAAGTGAATAAATCCAACATGGTGTCTAAACAAACACGTCAAAAGTTATTGCAGCGCTGCCTCGCCGTGGTCACGTTTGTTTTCTGAATAAAATTTTTATTTGATGAGGTTTTGCAGTAAAAACAGGATTTTTAACCGACGGATGTTTCACAATGTTGAGGTAAAATCATGTCCTTCCTGCGGTTTGTGTGTAGAGGCTCGTCACCACACAGCGGACGTAGCGTGGAGACGCCACATTGAGGCCTCGCAGGGACAAACAGGAGTAACTATGTTAGTGACGGGTCAGAAGTCTGACATCAGCAGCTCGCACTGACGTGATTGGTCAAATTAGGTAGAGTCTCCAGCAGAGAAACACTTCGGCTTCAATCACAAAAGATTCAATAAACTTTATTCAGCGAAGCAGATGACAAACACAGGGAGATTTTCAAACAAGGCTTCTGATGGGACGCTGAAATATGACCTCATCATTTCCAGCAGACAACTCAAGGTTCATTTCTTGTTCAAGTTCTTTTGACCAAATCACACAGTCGTCAGAGTTTCAGAAGAGAGACGGCGAGCGTGTGTTCCTGATGAAACGACCTGATGTGAACTGACCCAGGTTCAGATCTGGTCTCAGACCTCCTCCTGTGTTTGTTCAGCTGCAGCGCCACATGTCTGAACTCAGTGACGCTCAGCGTGGCGCTGTTGAGGCGAGTGCAAGAAAACTCAACGTGACAGAGGGACGCCAATAGAGGCGAGCACTGACCCTCACCTGCAGGGGTGGGGCACAAAGAGACAAAAAACCACCACAAATAGAGTGTGTGTTTGTGTGTGTGTGTGTGTGTGTGTGTGTCTGCCCCCCAAACAGGAAGGAGGTGAGATCACCTGAGATGCCTCTAAAAGTGTGAACCTGCTGCAGCTCGTCTCCCCACCCCCGCTCACATAGCAGTGCCTGCTTTAGTGGTCAGAGGAGGGGGGTGGGGCAGGTCAGAGCAGGTAGAGAAAAGGAACGCCCCCCGCAGGGATCAAGTTAAAACACAAAGGAGGAAAATTCTTTTTGTTTAACGAGGCGGAAAAATTCAGCAGAAACTGCAGCAGAGACATGATTCTGCTGCAGTGGGTCGATCAATCTTTCAATCATCCATCAATCTAGCTTCACCTTTTTAAACCATAAATATTATTACAGCTGATTTTTGATCATGTGACGTTCATGTATGTTTCCCCTTACTGCTGCCAGGTCGTGGCTGCGGTCTCAGTTACCCAGCATGCTGAGCGTTTCCTACCTGATCGGCTGACCTGCAGCTTCCGCAGAGCGTGAGCGAGCTCCTTGAACCCCTCCAGGTTCTTGTCATTTTGACTGTAGAGAAGAATCTTCTTGGCGTCAGAGAAAAGACGAGAAATTCTGTTGAGACAAAGATTTTATTTAAACATCACAGGGTTAATTTGTCACGGAAAGTAAAACAACCAGCGTCACTGATGCTGTAATGTCACCGCTGACCCTTGACCTTTGACAGACGAAATGTCATCACTTCATCTTATCTGATTTGACCTGTGTTAAAATTATCAGAATTATTTCTCACAGTGACTTTGACCTTCGACCACCAAATACTAATCAGTTCATTTGTGAGTCCGACTAAACATTTGAACCAAATCTGAAGAAATGACTTCAAGTTGTGTCTGAAACATCACGAGAACAAGACGACCTGATCACATGTGTGTCAAAATTCAAGTGCACAGGGGTGAAGGAAGAGGAAGTGAAGTGACTGAGTCACTTTAAGTGAAACCCTGAAGGAAGTCAAGGATTCAGTTCCTATGTGAAGAGACAGGAGAACTCAAGAAGTAAACTGTCAGCTGATAGGTCACACCCAATATTTATTCATTTTACTACTATCAGTAGTGGACATGTTATTTTCAAAGGTTGTCCCTAAATATTAGGTGAAAAAAGTTTATTAAAAATACACAAAACTAATTTCTGAACTTATGTTTTCAGCCTCAGAGGGCTTGTTGGACGCTGTGGTAAATTAAAGTTTGGTCTCACATGGAGTCATTGAAGTTGCCGACGACACCTGGAGACTCGCCTGGCGTCAGGTGTCTGAAACACGGGTTGTTGGCGTTGCAGAGGATTCCCTGGAGCCAGGGCAGCGTGCCAGCTGACGGCATCGCCTTGTTGGGAAAATGACCTGTAGTCAAAAATAAACAGGAAGTCACTCAGAAGATATGTCACCAAAGTAAAGGCATCAAGATGACAGACCACAGCGTCCTGTTCTCTTACAGCTGAGGCTCATGGGATATGTAGTTGTGAATCACAGATAATTAAACCGGTACTAATAAGTAGGTAATAAATAAAAGGATTATTTTTATTTTATATTTACACACAAATCAGAGAATCTGGGGATTTTCATCATTAATTTATCATAATTAATTTCTGCTGATTGGCTGAACACTGTCTCAGCTCCATCATGTGGACCTGGTCCGGCTGCGGACCTGGTCGGTGGTTGTGTGCGACTTGCTCTGTGACAGTTTGTGAACACGTGTGTTGACGTCACTGCAGCAGGTTAAACTTTGTGCTGAAGACAGCGTCCACACGAACACTGCAGGTGATAACCTGTGATTGGTCTGTTATCACATGCAGCCGAGGATCTTCATCTTCATCATCAGCTGCTGCTGCTGCTGCTGCTCCGGGCAGAGGCAGAGATTTATTCACTGCGACCTTTACCCCCCCAGGTGAAGACGCTGCTATCAGAGAGCCTCGTGGCCTCGGTCTAATCAGCAGAGATAAGATATGAGGCTGATGTTCCTCAGGATCAATCTCTGATCAATAAACAGTATTGATCAACAGTGTCTATCAGCTGCTGCAGAGACGAACCAAACCTGAGACACTTCAGCTTAACAGTGATGAGTTTAGACTCGTATGTGCTGTGTGAATCACAAACATTCCTCAAACCTGAGTCACGTCCTCACAGCTTCTGCTGTCAGAGGGAAACAGGAAGTTGACCACATGCTTCCTGCCCCTGACGCTCATCAGGGTTAATGTCGGTCAGAATCCCACTGAGCTTCAGTCAATCAAACCTTTTCTCCAACATTAAATAAAGAAACAATAATCATCAGTTGATTTTACAGTTTCAACATCTGGAAACTAATCGAGTTGCCATGGCGGTATCTGAAGAACGGGTCTGAGCTTCCTTCGCGTCCTCTGTTGTGACAGAGCGCCGTCCTTCGTGACCACAGAACGTAATCGACTGCAGCAGCTGCGAGGCGAGAACCTTGAGGTTGACTTCCTCTGGACACGTTGGTGCTGATGGAGACTCTTGACTGGTCCATGTTCTTATGTAACCCTATAGGAGCTTATCGATGGCAGCAGAGCACGTTGACCTTCAGCGGGTCTGATAATGGCGTTACAGAGATAACGAGTCATAAAAAGGGGATGAACCACTTGGTTAAGACCTTTAATATGAAATCCTGCAGCTGCAAACACTTCCTCTGTACTTCCTCCACCGCACCGATTATCATTCGATAACAGATTATCAGGTATCAATCAAGTGTCAAACTGATATCAGACGTCCTTAAATGTACAAGGTTCTGAACGCGGTTGATAATCACTCCCAGCATGCACCTGGATGATATCTGAAATCATGTGACAAGATCCTGCAGCTCTGACAAAATGATGTGGACAGTGACATGACCTTGTCTACAGGTGGTCATCGTGTGAAATCGATGCGTCCACACAGAGCCCCGCCCAGAGACACAGGTGAACTTCCTTCTTTGTCCCCGGGGGCTCGTCAGAGTCTGAACCAGGATCAAACATTCATGATGCACCAAACACGTGATCTGAGGTCACGCCGCGGACGTCAAAGGAGACACCACATGAAGAGCTTGTGTTCTCCAGCATGTTTGTGACATAAAGACGACAGGACGTCAAAGAGAAGTGAATGTGTGTTCAAGTGGTTTTAGTAAACAAACTAATAAAGTAAAATATTTTAAAATATATATATATAGAGACAGAATATTTAAAATAAATGACTTGATTATCACATTGGCTGATCAGTTTTCTCATGAATGGTTGCAACACAATAAAATGTGTTAAGTGACAGAGCAGCACATTAGCTCTGTCGAGCTAATAAAGGTTTGTTTGAACTCACACTCATGTTGTTCGTACGGCGGGTAGTTGAGCCTCACAGCGATGAGGATGAAGAAGATGAAGAGCGGCCAGACGATCTCCACCAGGAGCTGAGGCTGAGAGACGAGGAGCGACAGGAAACATTAACGAGTCACAGCGCCGCTAAAAGCATTGGACAGGAAGCAGCTGCACATGTTCATTGATTATTAATGAGTCAATCGATCGACACACAGAGAAAATAACCTGTTTACACCCCTTTATTCTCAAAGACGTGAAGGAGCCGAACGTCACAGATCACGTCTCAACCGTCACTGACACGTTCACGTATCATTTTAAGATACGTCTCTTTGGTCCCAGTGAAGGTTATCAGCTGATAACAGGTCACTGACCTTTGACCTCACTGCAGAAGTGGTTTCTGATTAATATTAACAGTCAAACGATCGATAAAACTGATCACAGAGAAAGGAAATAAGGAAATTTAAAAAACAAATCAGAGGTTGTTTCGATGCAACTTAGATCAGAAGACAAACATGAGTGAAACTGATAAGATTCTACTAATTAAGTGAAGATGATCAATAAGATGATTGATCAGTGACGTTCCAGTTTCAAAATCCTCTTTGTTTTGAGTAGATGACAGGAAATCAATCAGCATCAACAAGCAGCAAAACAATGAGAAGATATACTGTTGTGATTATTTCTGATAATATTGTGATAGATTACTGGTTGAAGAGACAGTTTCAGTTAAATCATCATGTGACTGACCGTCTGTCGTCGTCTGTACGTAAAATTCTTCCACAGCAGCAGACCCAGCTGCGTCAAGACAGACATGTCCACCAGCCGCCACTCTGCCGTCGCTCTGCCGTCGCTCAGCCTCAATGATTCTCAGCCGCTGCTCAATCTGCAATAAACAGATACAGCTTCAGACAACACACAGCTCAAAGGTGCCGGGGTCAAAGGTCACAGCAGATATTTATATGCTGATCACACACACACACACCACACACACACACACACACACACACACACACACACAGTCTAAATCTGAGTTTACACGTGTCCGATGTCTGTGTGTGTTAAAGAGGGAATGCAGAGTCAAGAGGGGCTGAATGAATGAATGAATGAATAAGTAAAGGATTGAATGAGTGAGTGAACAGATTTGAACACATTAATCAGTCATGATGTTTTGGCCACAAACAAATCAACATCTGATGAAAAGTGAAAACATGATTGATTCATGGCGACAGTGTGGAGGTCAGAGGTCAGAGGTGACTCAAGTTCATGTTCACACAGATGAAAGAATGAGTCTGATTATATTGATCACTGATTAGATACTAAAATCCAGTTCTTATAAGTACTTTTATGTAACAAGTACAACTCATTATCCTCATACTTCTCAGTTTTATTAAAACAACACATGTAACATGATCAATACTTTTGTTCTGTTGACGATAATCCATCGATCAAACAGCTGATCAATCAAATGTCTTTGAACTCATCAATCAAAGGTGAACAGTGGATTTCTATCGATCAGCTGTGATCAGTCAAAAACTGCTCTTTCTACGTTATTAATGATTATTAATGATTATTAATGATCTGAGTCAACACGTCGTTGTTCACTTTGTTTTGCTCAATGAACCTCACAGACACAAAATGGTGCCTCCAGCGGCGGATTCTGACAGTGCAGCTTCACAACCTTCTTCATTTCTACAATAAATGTACTTTAATAACTTTGACCTGAGAGACGCTCAGGTGAGACAGACAAAGTGAGAGCAGGTGAGACAAACTGAGACCAGGTGAGACAAACTGAGACAAACTGAGACCAGGTGAGACCAGGTGAGACAAACTGAGACA